ATGACGAACAAGATATCCGAAAAATAGGAGGCCTATTTAAAGCCATGCCATTTACCACAACAGCCCTAATCATCAGTAGCCTCGCACTAACAGGAATGCCTTTCCTCACTGGATTCTACTCTAAAGACCTGATTATTGAAGCCGCTAACACATCGTACACCAACGCCTGAGCCCTCTTAATAACATTAATTGCCACCTCTTTCACAGCCATCTACAGCACTCGCATTATCTTCTTTGCACTCCTAGGACAACCTCGATTTCCAACCTTAGTAATTATCAATGAAAATAATCCCTTTCTAATAAACTCCATCAAACGTCTAATAATAGGAAGCCTTTTTGCAGGATTCATTATTTCCAACAGTATGCCTCCAACAACTATCCCCCAAATAACAATACCCTACTATCTAAAAATAATAGCCTTGGCAGTAACAATCCTAGGTTTTATTCTAGCACTAGAAATTAGTAACATAACCCAAAACCTAAAATTTAATTCTCCATCAAATGCCTTCAAATTCCCCAATATACTAGGATATTTTCCTACGATCATACATCGCCTGACTCCCTACATAAATTTAATAATAAGCCAAAAATCAGCATTCTCTCTCCTAGACTTAATCTGACTAGAAAATATCTTACCAAAAACAACATCACTTATCCAAATAAAAATATCAACCATAGTCACAAGCCAAAAAGGCTTGATCAAACTATATTTCTTCTCTTTCCTAGTCACAATTATCATCAGTACAGTTCTATTTAATTTCCACGAGTAATCTCCATAATAACTACTACACCAATTAACAAAGATCAACCAGTCACAATAACTAATCAAGTACCGTAACTATTCAAAGCTGCAATTCCCATAGTCTCCTCACTAAAAAACCCAGAATCCCCTGTATCATAAATAACTCAATCCCCTAAACCATTAAATTTAAACACAATCTCCACTTCCTCATCCTTCAACACATAATAAACTATCAAAAACTCCATTAATATACCAGTAATGAACGCCCCTAAAACAGTCTTATTAGAGACCCAAATCTCAGGATACTGCCCTGTAGCCATGGCCGTTGTATAACCAAAAACTACTATTATTCCCCCTAAATAAGTCAAAAATACTATTAAACCCAAGAAAGACCCACCAAAATTTAATACAATACCACAACCAACCCCACCACTCACAATTAAACCCAATCCCCCATAAATAGGTGAAGGTTTTGAAGAAAATGCTACAAAACCAAGCACAAAAATGATACTTAAAATAAATACAATGTATGCTATCATTATTCCCGCATGGAATCTAACCACGACTAATGATATGAAAAACCATCGCTGTCATTCAACTACAAGAACACTAATGACCAACATTCGAAAATCTCACCCACTAATAAAAATGGTAAACAACGCATTCATTGACCTCCCAGCCCCATCAAACATCTCATCATGATGAAACTTCGGCTCCCTGCTAGGAATCTGCTTAATTCTACAAATCCTAACAGGCCTATTCCGAGCAATACACTATACATCCGACACAATAACAGCATTCTCCTCCGTCACTCATATTTGCCGAGACGTCAATTATGGCTGAATTATCCGATACATACATGCAAACGGAGCATCAATATTCTTCATCTATTTATACATGTAGGGCAAGGCCTATACTATGGGTCATACACCTTCCTAGAAACATTAAACATCGGAGTAATTCTTCTATTCACAGTGATAGCCACAGCACTTGTATATCATTCTGAGGAGCAACAGTCATCACCAACCTCCTCTCAGCAATTCCATACATTGGCACAAACCTGGTCGAATGAATCTGAGGGGGCTTTTCAGTAGATAAAGCAACCCTAACTCTATTCTTTGCCTTCCACTTTATTCTCCCATTTATCATCACAGCGCTTGCCACAGTCCACTCTTCCTCCATGAGATAGGATCCAATAATCCAACAGGAATCCCATCAGATGCAGACAAAATCCCATTCCACCCTTACTATACCATCAAAGATAGTCTAGGTGTCCTACTTCTAGTTCTTTTCCTAATACTATTAGTACTGTTCACACCAGACTTGCTCGGAGACCCAGATAACTACACTCCAGCAAACCCACTCAATACACCCCCTCATATTAAGCCCAAATGGTACTTCCTATTTGCATATGCAATTCTACGATCAATTCCCAATAAATTAGGAGTCCTAGCCCTAATCTTCTCTATCTTAGTTCTAATTCTTATACCCCTACTCCATACATCTAAACAATGAAGCATGATATTCCGACCATGCAATCAATGCCTGTTCTGAATTTTTGTAGCACACCTACTAACACTCACATGAATCGGAGGACAACCAGTCGAACACCCCTTCATCATCATTGGACAACTAGCATCTATCTTATATTTCCTCATTATTCTAATACTCATACCAGTTACTAGCATAATCGAAAATAATCTCCTGAAATGAAGACAAGTCTTCTGGTCTTATAAACCAGAAAAGAACAACTAACCTCCCTAAGACTCCAGGAAGAAGCCATAGCCCCACTATCAACACCCAAAGCTGAAGTTCTATTTAAACTATTCCCTGAAACATTATTAATATAGCTCCACAAAAATCAAGAACCTTATCAGTATTAAATTTTCTAAAACCTTTAATAATTCAACACAGTTTTGCACTCAACAGCCACGCTATACTCAACACATCATTAATTACACACTTTATGCATAGCAATATACATAATGCTACTTCATGCGCGTATAGTACATAAAATTAATGTATTAGGGCATATCTATGTATAATAGTACATTATATTATATGCCCCATGCTTATAAGCATGTACATGCTATTATTAATAGTACACAGTACATATAGTCATTGATTGTACATAGCACATTAAGTCAAATTCGTTCTTGTCAACATGCATATCCCGTCCCCTAGATCACGAGCTTAATCACCATGCCGCCTGAAACCAACAACCCTCTCGGCAGGGATCCCTCTTCTCGCTCCCGGCCCATAACTTGTGGGGGTAACTATTTAATGAACTTTATCAGACATCTGGTTCTTTCTTCAGGGCCATCTCATCTAAAATCGCCCATTCTTTCCCCTTAAATAAGACATCTCGATGGACTAGTGACTAATCAGGCCATGCTCAAACTGTGGTGTCATATATTTGGTAATTTTAATTTTCGGGGGGATGCTTGGACTCAGCTATGGCCATCTGAGGCCCCGACCCGAAGCATGAATTGTAGCTGGACTTAATTGCATCTTGAGCATCACCATAATGGTAGGCACGGGCATCACAGTCAACGGTCACAGGACATAACCTTTATTTCACGCTTCAACTTTATACTTCTTTCCCCCCCATTTATTCCCCCCCCCATATACATTTCAGCCTGTCCGCTGAGGAGGCCCCTGAACCACAGGAAAAGGCGGGGGCGCTTTCGAAGCTGTAGCACCACCTGGAGAGCCCCAATTCCTCGGAGCGTGCCTTTGACTTAATCCGGGTGCGAAGTGTCGGGAGCGGCCATTAGGTCAACCGCTACTGTGGGCCTCTCAGCTGGTGGGGGGGCGGTTACGCCGCCCCAGGCCCCTGCCTTGAAAATACCCTCGCGCCCAGGTCCCCGCCCCCTTACTCCGCCCCCGGGCCGGCTCGGGGGGTGCGGGGCAACAGGTAGAGGTGGGCGCCCTGGGCTGCTAGGCCCTACCCTTACCTACTGCCGCCAGGCCCGCCCTAAGCGCAACTTGAATGACAGTTGGAGTGGGGAGGGCGCGGATTCTTCCCGGGAGAGCAGCCACCGGAGAACACCGCGGCCGTACCCCTTCTCAAAGCCGGGAGCCACAGACAAGAGTCCGAGGGCACCCAGACTCCATAGCACGGCTTCCCAGGACCTTTGGGCACGCAGGAACCCTCACCCGACCGGCGAGTCAGCGGGCAGATAGGGAGGCAGGCAGCCTGGAGGTTCCGGGTGTCTGTAGGCCCCGAGCAAGAAAACCCAACTGGCGCCTCAAACGGCGACTCAAATGGACACTCTGGTTCCCGCGCTACCCAGAGTGCTGTGCGCCCGCCGCAGGGGGCCCAACCGTCGCCCCCGCCTCTAGGAGCAGCCTCCTGCCCCCCGCCCCGCCCCTTTACAGTAGTTTTTGTTATACATTGAAATGAATTAGCCATGGATTTACATGTATTCCCCATCCCAGTCCCCCCTCCCACCTCCCTCTCCACCCGAGGTGACTTTCTTAAAGGGAAAGTTCCATCAGCCCCTTGAGGCTCTGCGGCTGCGACTCTGCCCGCCCCGCGGCGCTGCCTGTCGCTCCTCCTGAGCTTGTTGTGTTTTGGTTTGGGGGGGTGGGGGGTGGGACAAGAGTTTGGAGAAAGTTTGGAGAATGAAGAAGGCTTGGGAACCTAGCCAAGTCCCTCTCCTCTCCCAGCAGCTCCCCTGGCCGCCCTGCCCACCCCTACCACCCCCTACCCCATTCTCATCGCCACCCTCAGACTCCTCCTCCCAGGGAATAAATTTACAAGTTGCTCCAAGCTTTCCAAGGATTGAACCCCATGAACCACAGGGAGTGGGCTCCGCAAGGGAGCTCCCTGCTCCGCCCCATCCTCACTGCCCTCCAGCTGGGGCCCTTGGAGGAAGCAGATGTGGCCCCCTGGGGCTAGGCTGGAATGAAGCCAGAAAGGCCTGGGGCACTTGGGGGACTGGGGCTGGAGTTAGCCTTCCAGGCCCCGGCCTTCTGTGCCTGCCTTCCCCCGAAAGAGAAGACTGAACAAATTTCATGCCCTTTGGATCAGCGCTGCTGGGGGCTGTGGGCATGGCTGGGTAAGGCCTGGGTCCTACTCCTTGGAACTGGAGGGCTGAGGGTCCTTTCTCCACGGACCCTCTCACTGGTTTGGTCACACCTACACTGCCTGGAGTTCTATCCTTGGGCTGGGAAGATCCCCTGGAAGAGGGCATGGCAATCCACTCTAATATTTTTGCCTAGAGAGTCCCACGGACAGAGCAACCCGGTGGGCTACAGTCCATAGGGTCACAAAGAGTCGGACACTACTGAAATGACTTAGCACGCACAGGGGTTGTTGTATTACAAGGGCTGCAGATACCAACCTGGGCCCTCTGTTCTCGCCCTGGGGAGACATGTGGGGGTTCCAATCCTAGCTAAAGGAGACTTGGCCAAAGAGAGCTTTGCTGAGCCTCAGTTTCCTCTCCTACAAAAGAAACAAAACACATTGCTCCAGGCTGCCTCTGAGCAGCAAAGCTTGGCAGTTGGTGGAAAGCAGCTCCCACATTTGCTTGTCTTGAGGCCACCAGCTTTCAAGGAGGACCAGTTAGTACTGGCTGTCAGGGGACTATTGTTACCCCAGTGTGTGCTCAGGAAGCGGACCAGTATCTTCTCTGCACCCTGAATATGTCCTCACTGTTGTTTGCCCAGGAAACCAGTTTCCTTTGTTCCCAGGGTATAGTCAGCCTCCAAGAAGCTGATTCACACATGCCAAACTCAAACAAGATCAGTTGACAAGTGAGATTCCTCGTTATTAATTTACAGAGGCTCTGCGTGAGATAGCAGGTATCAGGCACAGACAGTTCCCACCAAGGAGCGCCAGTCCATTCCACCAGGCTTCTCCAGGGCCCAAACACTCAGAACTTACAACCTATTCGCTTTAGAGGCTTGGTCAGAACCAGGAAGATTTGGAGACGTTCTTCTCATCAGCAAGATTATTTTGTTTGACCTCTGTCCCCAGCCTTGCAGGTTTGTGATTTGTATTCTGCAGCTTGTTTGTGATTTGTATTCTGTGAACGAACTGCAGGTGTCTCACGGGTGTGTGTCCTCTTCCTGAGCAGTCTGTGGCTCCCATGCCCCCAGCCCTTGTGGATTTGTCTAGATGGATGTGTGTCTGGGGGGAGTGACTGTGCACTGAAGCAGCCCTGGGTCTCAGTGTGCGTGTGGGCCCAACTCTGGGGACTGGGCCCCTGTGATCCAAGCCTCCCTCCCTCTGCCTCTCCTGCTGGGACATAAATTCTCTTTCTGGTCTCTCTCTCCCTCCCTCCCGCTGGGGCTTGTCATAAAGGGCCACCACACAGGGAAGAAGGATGGAGGCTGCTGGAAGATCCTCCATGGAGTGGACTGGGGACAAGGAAGAATAGGAGGGTGGGACAATGGCCTCCATTCCCCTTGAAGGAGTAGACTGGGGCTGGGGGTCCCTGAGAAGAGAGCCCTGAGTGTCAGTGATGCTTCTGGGACCAACAGGGCTGCCCCACACTAAGGACTCCATGTGAAGTGGGGGGTGGGAACGGGCTGGGGTTGGAAGAAGCGAAGGGGAGGAGTGCTCAGGACTCAGTCCTGAGTCGGAGAAGGTGCATTTGGGATGAATCCCGGGACAGGGAGACAGTCTGACACTTTAGCCCATAGGGTGGGGGAAATAGACTTTCCCTGGGGATTTGGGAAAGTTGGAGATGTTGCCCACATGGGTTTTGCTAGACTGATGACATCACACACAGTACATTTGCATACATGCAGAAACTTATAGATCTGTGCATTTTACCCATTTTCATCTAGAAAGGGCTTCAAGCAGATGCACAATGAGGTGAGTCCTGAGGAAAACCTTAGGAGAAAGATCCTGGTTTGAAACATCGCCTGTCTCCACGAATCAGAGACTAAAGTGGCTGTTTTCTTCCAAACAGAATAAGGCCCCAAGGGAGGCAGGTTTTGGACTAGCCCAGGTCAGAGCCGAGATGGCTTCACCCCCACCGTGAGCTTCCCACCCTAGACTGCTGGCCCACAGGATGGGAAGGGCATGGCCAGCCTGAGCCATCACGGGGAGAGGAGGGGGATCAGGCCAGAGGACAGAGGGGAGGACCGATGGGGTCAGACATCTCGCTGGCTGGCTTCTTCCTGGGCAGGGCAGCAAGAGGACAGGCAGCGGCCGGGCCCCACCCACTGTGGTCTGAGGCATGTCTCAGGAGCCTCCCATTGCAGTGCTATTTCCTGGGAGGCCTGGGTCCATGTCGGATGCCCTGGTGCTGACTGGTTTCACGTGTCATCATCAGCCTGAAGAAGCAAGGCCTCTGTCAGTGGCCCAGAGTGTGCTCAGGTTGTGTCTGGTGGGATGAGGAATCAGGCCAGGGTGGGCACTTCTGGAAGGCACTATAGGAGATGGCGGCACTGGCACTTGGTGGAGGGGTACGGGAAGACCCTGCGAAGAAGTGGGGGCAGTGTGGCCATTGCTTTGAGGTACAGCCTGGCCTGATCAGGCTTGAAGCCCCAGCCTCAGGAGCTGCAGAAACCCACCTGGGCTCTGCTCTCAGATTCTTCCTCCCTTGAAAGCCTAGTGGTCAGTGCCTAGCACCTTCCCTATCCTGTCCCAATGCAAGGGAGGGATCTAGGTTGGTTCCAGAAACAAGAGCTGCCTCTGGGGCTCCAGGTGCCCTTCAGGCCATCCTGCTGTGCTTACTCTAGCGCTGGTCCAGGGGGGCAGCATGAGCCAATTACAGGAATCAGAGCAGGGGCCCAGGCTGGATCTCAACAGCTGCAGATAAAATTAGAAGGAGAGATTGGAACCATTGACTTTGGCCTGTCTGGGATACAGCCCTGATGTCCAGAGCATTCAGTGTTCAGATTTCTAAATACCTTAGAGCTCTCAAAATCCAGGATCCCCAACGCCAAGCGTGCCAGAGCTCTGAACACCACAGCGAACACGAAATCTAGAGTTCCCAGCATCCAGAGGCCCTAAATGCCCAGAGCACCTCATGTCTAGATCTCTGGGGTTCCTAACATCCAGCGCTCTGAGTACCAATTCACTGGACAGGAATCTGGAGTCGGGGGAGTGCTGGTCCTGTTGACCCAGGTCCCTTCAGTGACGGGCATTGTCTGAGGAGTGCCCATCACAGGAGCTGGGCCAGGGGCGGTGCTGGAAGCAGCAGCGATTCTTCCCTGATGCTCTCGCCCCGTCCTGACGTGGGGTGGAGACTGGTGACGTTTCCTCCAGTCCCTCCCCACCCCAGGTCACGTGACCTGTGTGAGTGAATATCCACTGACTCACCACGTGTGAATATACATCTGCTCTGTGCTGGGAACTGTGCTGACTTCTAGGAACTCAGCCGTGAGAGGAAAGGATCTCCTCCTTTCCTATATTGGAACGTGGGCCTATGTCACATGCCGGTGTGAGACACCATGTCTCTGAGGCCCATGTGTGGTCAAGGGCTTGGCTGTGAGAATGAATGGCTACTGGCCTGCGAGAGTGTGGATGTCAGGCTGTGAGCACAGACCATCAGCAAGTTGATGTGTCTGACGGTCAGAGCGGGTCTGACTATGTCGCTCCATCAGGCCGTCTCTGCCTCGCTGCTTTCTTAAGGGATGGAGGTAAGGCCCCTATTCCACCGGATCAGGCCTCCCTGTGAGGAGCAGGAGGCTAGTCCTGTTCTGGAGGCTGACACCCAGAGCCATCCTGTTGAGGGATGAGAGATTTCTCCCACTGCCCCTGCCCCCGCTGAACCCAGAGCCTCCTTGGATTGGGAGGAGTGGCTATAAGTGGAGCTGCTGCTGCTGCTAAGTCACTTCGGTCGTGTCCGACCCTGTGCGACCCCATAGACAGCAGCCCACCAGGCACCCCCGTCCCTGGAATTCTCCAGGCAAGAACGCTGGAGTGGGTTGCCATTTCCTTCTCCAAAAAAGTGAAAGTGAAGTCACTCAGTCATGTCTGACTCTTAGCCACCCCATGGACTACAGCCTCCCAGGCTCCTCCATCCAAGGGATTTTCCAGGCAAGAGCACTGGAGTGGGGTGCCATTGCCTTCTCCAATAATTGGAGCAGCCAACACCAAAATTGGCCATCCACCCAGGGGAGAATCCTGAGACACCAGCCCCTCCTCCCAGTCCAGCCCACCCAGCTCGCTGACCTGGAGCCTGGATAAGGCTCCTGTCTGACTTCACTTCCCCGGGTCCTGTCTGAGTAACCCTTTCAGACTGGGAGGAGGAACAAAGCCATGATGTGCCTATCAATGATGACATTACAGGGAGCTGTGACATGACGGGGAGTGATACCAGGCCCCAAGTGAGTGGGGAGGGGCTGACCCCTTGCCTCTGCCCCTCTGGGCTGAGACTTATTAGGGATGTGACCTTGTCAACTGAGCACCTGATGGGAGGAGTAGAGGAGTGACTGTGCGAGGTGGGGGCTGCTCAGGGCTCAGTGACCGAGACAGAGGCCTTGTGCAGGCGATTAGTTGTCACGCTGGGTCTAAGCTCCTTACCCTCAGAACTTGAGCCTCTCCACCCCTAAGTCTAATCCAGAGGTGAGCGGGGAGGGCCTTGATAGGTCTCCAGTGACCCAGGAAGCGCACCCAGCTGTGGCCCCGTGGGGTCAGGCTTCTCTGTGTCCCTGTCTCTGGGAGTCTCTCTGCTTCTGGAACTCCTCTGCCCGCTTTGACTTGTGTGGTGCCTCTGTGATTTGGTCTCGCGGACTCCACGTGTATTTCGGGCCTTATCTCTGTGAAGAGCTCTGTGGCCCTGACTCCCTGAAGCCCTGGTGGGTTGACAGAGGGGCACAGACGCCACTAGGAAATGGGCTACACAGACCTCAGTGACGGGGCCATGGGTGACAGCAAGTCTTTGGAGACCCAGATTGATAGGTGACGTGAGGGCTTAGACAGCACAGGGCCTCGGTGGCAACGCGTGGCGGGTGGCCCAGGTTAGAGGGACGTTGGGCTGTTCGTACCTGACACACAGATTGGGGGACTCTGTGTGTATGGCTAACACAGGATCTGGTGACTCAGAGCGATTCAAAATGAGTTCTCAGGCAGCCGAGCGACCACAGTGGTTCTTGACTAGGGCAATTTGTCCCTTCCCTCCAGGGACGTTTGGCCGTGTGTGGAGACACGTTTGGTCGTCACATCTGATGGGAAAGTGTGCTATTAGCACGTCGCGTGTAGAACCAGGATGTTGCTCCAGAGTCCCCATGCACAGGCTGGTCCCACACAAGGAACTAAATGTGGGGGCCAACTCTGAAACCCGACTGCCAAGCTGAATCCTAGCTCCTGCCCTCTGTGACTCTGGGTGAGTCTTCTTATGCCTAACGTGGAGTACCCAGGCGGTACCCTTCTGGAGTGTTGGGATTGCTGAGCTGACTCTTGTCAAGTGTTTAGAATTGGGCCTGGCACAGAGTAGGTGTTGTTTTTTTGACTCAGGCCTGGAGAGAACAAGGGTAGGTTTATATTCAGTAACTCAAACGTTCTCTCCCTTTCTCATCACAGTTTCTACTTCAGACAGGCTTCGTCCATCTCAGGAAACCACATGGCCCAAAGTGCTCTTGTCTTAGGGTTACCGACCAGGGTTCTTGGCCTTCCTTGTGGGTCAGTCCCAAAGTCGTGTCTGACTCTTCAGCCCCATGAATTGCAGCACGACAGGCTTCTGTATCCTTCACTATCTCCTGCAGTTTGCTCATATCCAACTCACATCCATTGAGTTGGTGATGCCATCCAACCATCTCATCCTCCAGTGTCCCCTTCTCCCACCCTCAATCTCCTGTCCTCACCAGGGTCTTATCCAATGAGTCGGCCTTTCACATCAGTTGGCCAAAGTACTGGCCTTCCTTAATCAATAAAAAATAAAAGACCAGACAAGAAATTCAGGCAGGGACTTTACTGGGGCTTCTATTGCAGCAATCCCTTGGAGAAGGAAATGGCAACCCACTCCAGTACTCTTGCCTGGAAGATCCCATGGACGGAGGAGCCTGGTAGGCTACAGTCCATGGGGTCGCAAAGAGTTGGACACGACTGAGCGACTTCACCTATTGTAGCAAGGGGAAATGAAAACAAGTAAGTTTCTCTTGCTGGCTCCCTAAGCGGGGAGGGCAAGGTGGTACCGTATATGGGGTGAATGTAGGGCTGTGTCCAGGGGTTGGGCCAGAGGGGTGGCTTGGGTGGTGTGCCCTCCCCTAGATGCTGTTGAGTGCAGGCGGCATGTGGAATACCCTGCTTTTGTTCCTGACCCCACTTTTGTTCCCAGCTCTTTAGAAGTTGCAGTTGGGTTTCTGGCCTTTTTATATCTTGTCCATAATTTGCCCTAACTGCATGTGCTCACTCTTTTCTCATGCCTTATAGTTTCTTTGTATTTTTGTTGCTCCAGGAACATTTGTCCAGATGTAAGCATTGCAGCAAAGGGTCCCAGGTCCCAGGTCTCAGCCGGTCTTTTCATGTCATGCAGATGTAGTTATTTCTGAGGAAAAGAGACAAATACCTATAAATCCCAAAGAAATGGCTCTGATTGGCTAAGCCTGGGTCACCTGACCACCCACGTTTTGCAGAACACCACATGAAAAGACTAACTCTTCTATTCTCCATGAAGACTTCCCTGGTGGCTCAGCAGTAAAGGGTCTGCCTGCAATTCAGGAGACCAAGGTTCGATCCTTGGGTTAGGAAAGTCGCCTCGAGAAGGAAATGGCAACCCACTCTAGTAATCTTGCCTGGGAAATCCCATGGACAGAGGAGCCTGGAGGGCTATAGTCCATAGGGTCTCAAACAGTCAGACACAACTTAGCAACTAAACAACAACAATGACAAATTTTTCATGACAACGCTCTGGAGTAGAACTCTTTACTTTCCTCTTTTAACAGCTAAGGAAACTGATGCCCAGAGGTTCAGTAACTTGCAAACCCAAGACTGGATCAAGGCAGTCTGGTTTAAAACGATTCACCCTTCCTTCATAGCCACCATCTTGAGTGTTTATATTTAGATTCATAGGGTTTTATTTTAAAATGTGCAATAAGAAGCAACATTGTGTTTGTTCATAAGATGCAATCACAGGAGCATTTTCATTACAAAGAGTTGCTCATTTTTCTTTTTTTAAGATAAAGCAATTGCATTAGTCATTAGTCATCTGGTTTTTTGAGTGGGCTAATGAGGGGATGGTTGTGATTTCCTTGGTGAGAGAAAACAATAAGAGCTGGTCCTGTGGTGAAGGATGGGGTAGGAGGAAGGAAGGGACCTTGATGATGAGCCGAACTAAGTCTAGATAGAATCTGGCCTGGTCCTGAGATAGGACTGCCATGGTTGACAAATTCTTTGTTTGGATGATGACCCAAGACGGGGCTCAACCTTTCAACTTTTCCTGAAGCATTGATAGGGATACAGCACAGTCAAATCAATAATTCGCTAATAATACATCTGCTGTCAGTTGCACACATCTTGAGGGAAAGAATGCCTGCATTGTGAGAGTTATCCTGCCCTAGGGCTAAGGGTGCGAGACGAGGGGCATAGATAGATAGGTGTGCTACTTACATCCTTATTCATATCACCTAATGCTTCTTAGGTGCTTAGTATAAGGAATAACCAGATGAAAGCATGTGAGTGGGTTGAATAGGAAGAGGAAGTTTCCCTTGGGGATTTGGTGTCAGACGTGAGGTTATACTGCTCTCTAGTGGATACTTTGTGAATTTACACAATATCAGACTGGATGTGGCAAGTTGGTTTTTGTTTTCGTTTTTGTTTTTAACCAAGGGGCTCCTCTTCAGAGTGTTTGGGAAGCAGGCCCATAAGAAACACCGTGTGTGTGTGTGTGTGTGTGTGTGTGTGTGTGTGTGTGTTGGGAGCTATGCAGCTTTGCCTAACATCACCATGCAGAAATCAGGAAATGGTTAAAGAAGAAAGATGTGGGAATCAGTTCAGTTCAGTCACTCAGCCGTGTCCGACTCTTTGTGACCCCATGAATCGCAGCACGCCAGGCCTCCCTGTCTATCACCAACTCCCAGAGTTTACTCAAACTCATGCCCATCGAGTAGGTGATGCCATCCAGACATCTCATCCTCTGTCATCCCCTTCTCCTCCTGCCCCCAATCCCACCCAGCATCAGGGTCTTTTCCAGTGTCAACTCTTCGCATGAGGTGGCCAGAGTACTGGAGTTTCAGGTTCAGCATCAGTCCTTCCAATGAACACCCAGGACTGATCTCCATTAGGATTGACTGGTTGGATCTCCTTGCAGTTCAAGGGACTCTCAAGAGTCTTCTCCAACACCACAGTTCAAAATCATCAATTTTTCGGCACTCAACTTTCTTCACAGTCCAACTCTCACATCCATACATGACCACTGGAAAAACCATAGCCTTGATCAGATGGACCTTTGTTGGTAACGTAATGTCTGTGTTTTTTAATATGCTATCTAGGTTGGTCATAACTTTCCTTCCAAGGAGTAAGCGTCTTTTAATTTCATGGCTGCAGTCACCAGTGATTTTGGAGCCCAAAGAAATGAAGTCTGACACTGTTTCCACTGTCTCCCCATCTGTTTCCCATGAGGTGATGGGACCAGATGCCATGAACTTAGTTTTCTGAAGAAGCTTTAAGCCAACTTTTTCACTCTCCTCTTTCACTTTCATCAAGAGGCTTTTTAGTTCCTCTTCACTCTCTGCCAAAGGGTGGTGTCATCTGCATATCTGAGGTTATTGATATTTCTCCCAGCAATCTTGATTCCAGCTTGTGCTTCTTCCAGCCAAGCGTTTCTCGTGATGTACTCTACATATAAGTTAAATAAGCAGGGTGACAGTATACAGCCTTGGTGTACTCCTTTTCCTATTTGGAACCAGTCTGTTGTTCCATGTCCAGTTCTAACTGTTGCTTCCTGACCCGCATACAGGTTTCTCAAGAGGCAGGTCAGGTGGTCTGGTATTCCCATCTCTTTCAGAATTTTCCACAGGTGTGAGAGTAGTTGATGGCAATAACCCATGGATTTTATTTAAAATGTGAGAAAATCTAAGCTGTGGAGATAGGAACTTCTCCCCTAGCTTGACGCGGACTAAGTAAGGTGATTTAAATAAGAAGGCACAGCCAGTAACTTTCCAAGCAGAACTGGATGACTGCCTGGGTGATTCTTGATGTCAGTTAAACTGAGAAATACTCCAATTCCACTGATTCCGTTGATTCACTCGGAACAAGAAATAAAAAGTGCTGTGCTGTTATTTTAAAAAAAAACAAAACAAAGCAAAAGAAGAGAAGGACCAAGAGATAGAATACCCACAGTAAATAAAAGTACATTTTTGTCAGGATGAGAAAATAGAAGGGTTTGGGGGGAAGGGCATGTAAGAGGAGATGAGTTAGAGATTTCATCTTAATGGTGAATATTTTTGTCTTTAAATATGTGTTTAACTTTTTCTCCTTCTGAGAAGGTACCACACTCTTTGTTTCCAGCCAGAAACTGTCTTTGATCAGTTGGATTTAGAGCTAGTTGGTTAAAAATTAGTATCTGGGGATTTGGAAAATATTCTGTTTGCTTGAATGGCTACTCTTAAGTATGTAAATGAATTGCTCTACTATGAGCCTAAATTGCTCTTGGCAAAATTGTCTTCATGTGTTTAACTGGCCAAGGTACAATTTGTTTCATTTATAAACATAGTAAGATTTATCTATGAATTAAGAGACATTGAAAAAGCTGGTTATTCTGATAATGATGTTAAAATTTTTATAGTTTTGGGTGTGCAAATAATCTATTAGTTTAATAAAATTGTTCATTGATGCACCATTTTAACTTGAACACATCTGTGCAAACATAACTATTTTAGTCTCTTCAGGTTGTAACAAAATACCATACACAGGGAGGTTCAAACTTCAGGCATTTATTTCTAACATCTCTGGAGGGTGGGACATCCAAGATCAAGGTGCTGGCAGATTCAGCTCTTGGTGAGAGCCTTCTTCCTGGCTTCCTGGCTTGCAGAAAGTCACCTCTTTGCTGTCTGTACATGTGGTGGGGAGGGACGAAGGGAGAGAGAGAGAGGGAGAGAACGATGGAGAGAGAAAGTTTTTGGTTTCTTCTCATAAAACACCAATCCCATTATGGGGGCCTCACATCATGATCTCGTCTAAACCCACGCACGGACCTCCCCCAAGCCCCACTTCATGATGTAACAGAGAACAAGCCTGACTCCATACTGGAGCTATTGCTTTAGCTCGAACCTTTGTGCTCTGTTTCCTGGGCTTACTCCTGCTGGCTCTGCGCCCTGCAGAGCGATGCCGCCTACAGCCTGAAACCCACATCACAGCTCCTGCTCAGGGCTCTGACTCCCAGGCTGGACTCTTAAAGATACAGCAATTTTCATTCATATAGAGATGATTTTTCTCTTTTGGAGATTTATAGGAGTATGGTGACGAGACCTAGAGTGGACAAGACCAAAGGATATCACACTCCCTCTGGGGCCTGGTCAGCACCAAGAAGCTTGTGACAACCAGTCGCATTCCCTACCCTTTCAGTATAAAAGAAGCCTGAATTCTAACTCGTGGAAGATGGCTTTTTGGGACACCTGTCATGTGGTGAGCAGTATGAGCTTAGACTCGGTAATGATATCATCATATTAGGGGTTAGGGTTTCAACACATACATTTTAACACATAAGCACTAAACTGAACACAAATTTGGGGGAACACACACATTCGGTCCATACAGAAACCATCCAGGGAAGATGTTCCTGATCACTACCTTCTCTGTCCTTCCCAAAGCAACCACTACCCTGACTTCTGACCTTCCACAGTAGTTTTGCTTGTGTTTGAACTTTTTATAATTAGAATTATACAGTATATATGCTTTTGTATGTGTGAGATTCATTCATGTTGTTATGTGTAATAGCTTATTCATTTCTATTGCTGTATAGTATTCCATTGCATGAATACACAACAATTTATTCATTCTAGATTTTCAGTTTTTGATGACCTGAAAATATAAATATTTTGGTACACATACCTAGGGTTGGGATTGCTGTTTCTCAGCATTTGTATACATTCAACTTTTACAGATATGATCAAATGGTTTTATAAAGTGCTTGTAGCAATTTACACTCCTATCAACAATGTATGAGAGTCAGCCATAGTAAAAGTATTTATCCCACAAATATTGGCAACTTCTACAAATCACTCTTTCTTTCCTAGTGAGCCAGTTGTTAAATAGTTACTAGTACACCACTGCCAATACCCACTGTCACAAAAACTTCCTATGTTTTTCAATTCTTGGTATTATCAGTCTTTTTCTCCCTTCAAAAAAAATAATAAAATTTAGTTCAAAATTTTAATTGAATGTATTTTAACTCTAATATAACACAGAATTTAGAGGTATTATTTTTATTTTATTCAGATCAAAACTAATATAACACTGTAAATCAACTAGCTCTAATAAATTTTTTTAAAAGATCAAATATACAAGCAATCAGATATCTTTTACTTTCTATACACATATACCCCTCAAATTTAAAAATGATAAACTTATTTTTCAGTCTTTTTAAAATCATACATACTTTTATGAAAATTTTAAGTTTTTTTGACTCGGCTAGGCTTTCTTTGCTCTGCAGCATGCGGGATTTTTGTTCCCCAGCCAGGAGTTGAAGCCCATGCCCTCTGCATTGGGAATGCAGAGTCTTAACCAACGGACTGCCAGGGAAGCCCCCAAAACTTTATATATCTTAAACTCAAGGATAAGGAAAAGCCAGGACAACCTTACATTGTTGGTGCAAGTGTTAACTGGTACAATGACTCTGGAAATCTCCCACAGTATTTCCTACAGCTAAACATACATGTACCCCTGACCAGCAGTTCTCCTCCTGAATATGTGCCCAATGGAAATGAGTGCTTCTGTCCACCAGAAGGCGTGCGTGAATGTGTTCACAGCAGCTGTCTTCATGATCATCCACTCTGGAAACAACTCAGAAGTCCAGCAGCAGTAGAAGGGGAAATACATTGTGATGTGTCCCTACAATGAAATATTACACAGCAATAAAAAAGGGAACAATGTATGGGCAGTATAACCACAGAGGTGAACCTCGATAATTTTGACCAAAAGAGATCAGATGCAAGAGGCTATACTATATTATTCCAACTATAGGAAGTTAAAAACTGGCACAACTAACCAATAGAGTGGGAGAGGCCAGGTAGAGGTCACCCATGGAAGTGGTACTAACTTTCAGGAGCCACGAGACAGTCTTCTGCAAGGCTGGACTCACTCTATTCTTGATCTGGGTGGAGATTCTATGGGATATATGTATTTAAAATTGATATTGCATTCATTACTGTGTCTCAATTATATGTCAATAAGATGGAAACAGTCATGCGACTGCCTGCTATTAAGAAAGATGTTACTGAGTCAAATCTTTATGCCAAGTGCAGCTTTAGTCTTATGCTATATTTCATTGACATTGCAGTGTAACATGAAAATACTCTTTGTGGTTAAGTGTGAATAATTCTTGATATCATGATTATGGAAAGATTCTTAAATAAATGATCATTAAAAGACATATGTTCCTCTTAAAAGTTAATGCAGAAAGTACTAAAAAACTTTTTTTAATTACCCCAAATGCCACCACTACAAAACAATCATCTTCAACCTATGTCAATATCATTTCTGACATCCTTGAACTTGTGTGTGATCCACTGTGTATATTTCTATCACATCTTGTCAACCTAACAATAGTAGCCACATTGCTTGGATTGATTATTATCTGAATATTCAATTTCAAGTGGAAGTGTTATTTAAGATGTACTTCAATGAAAATGTACTTCTTTTGCTTTATATGTTGAAATTCTATCAGTCAGTTGAAATGTAAATATATATGTCATTTTTCATGAGTAAATTGCTATAGTAATTGATGATGATTTGAAAGCTGTTGATTGAGTACAAAAACACTAACAAAGAACTTTCAAATAATTTAATTTGAAAATAGGTTGATAATGCAGTTTTCAAGAGAAAGTATGTTAAGTAGGTATCTTCAGAAAGAACTTTATATTGTGTAAAAGTCAAGAACTGTTATGGCACTGCCACAAAAACAGACACAATAGATAAACAGAACAAGATAGAGAGCCCAGAAGTGAACCCACACACGAATGGTCAATTAATCTACAACAAAGGAGGCAAGAATACACAATGGAGAAAAGACAGTCTGTTCAGTAAGTGATGCTAGGAAAACTGGACAGCCACATATAAAACAATGAAATCAGAACATTCTCTAACACCATATACCAAAATACACTCAAAATGGATTAAACATCTAACGGTAAGCCAGCATACTATAAAATTCCTAGAGGAAAACATAGGCAGAGCACTCTTTGAGTAAATTGCAGCAATATTTTTTTTTATCCACCTCCTAGACTAAAGGAAATAAAAGCAAAAATAAACAAATGGGACCTAATGAAACATAAAAGTTTTTGCATAGCACAAGAAACCATTGACAAAATGAAGACGACTTACTGAATAGGAGAAAATATTTGCAAATGATTTGATCAGCAAGGGATTAATATTCAACATGTGTAAACAGCTCATACAATCTGACATCAAAAACAAAAATCAAACATCCCACTTGAAAAATGGGCAGAAGACCTGAATTCCAAAGAGGAAATGCAGATGGCCAACAGGTACATGAAAAGATGCTCAATATTGCTAATCAATCAGGGAAATGCAAATCAAAACCATGATGAGATATCATCTCAGATCTGTCAGAATGTCTATCATCAAAAAGGAACATAAAGAAAAAATGTTGGTGAAGATGTGGAGAAAAGAGAATCCTTGTACACTGTTGATGAGAATGTAAATTGGTACAGTCACTGTGGAACACAGTATGAAGGTTTCTCAAAAAACTAAAACTGGAACTTCCACATGAACCAGGAATTCCTCTCCTTGGTATATATCCCCCCCAACAAACAACACTAATTAAAAAAGATACATACATCCCAGTGTTCATAGCAGCATTATTTACAATTGCAAAGATGGGGAAGCAACATAGGAATCTATCAACACATGAATGGGTAAAGAAAATAGAACTTTATAGATGTGGCATGTATACCACATCTCAGCCATAAAAAAGAATGAAATTTCGCCTTTTGCAGCAACATAGATGGACTTGGAAGGCATTAGGCTAAGTGAAATAAGTCAGATGGAGAAGGGCAATATGGTATGGTACCACTGATAGGTTGGATCTAAAAAAATACAATAAATAAGTGAATATAACAGAAAAGAAACAGACTCACAGATGTAGAGAACAAACTAGTTGCCAGTAACACTGTCTGTAAGAGAGAAGGAAAAAAGGAACAATTCATACACCCATTTACCATAGAATGGATAGTTTGTGGTGTATCGCACATGGAATACTATCTATCCAGCAGTAAAAATGAAAATTATATTCCTTTTTGTGCCACACATGGCTAATCTTCGTAATGATAATTTTGAGTGGAAAAGCAAGTATCAAAAGGCTACTCTTTTCACTAAGATCAAAAGCAAATAAAACAATATTTTATTTAGGGATCAACATATGTGATAAAACCCTCAGATAATTGTGACCTCTTGGGGGAGGCATGAGTATTGCATGGAAGAGGAGAGCATGGTAGACCTAAGTTACTGATAATAGTTTAGCTCTTGGGATGAGTACCAAACTCATGGGTTCTCATTATATTATTTTAAGAAATGAATAGTCCTCACCATATCATCCTTTACTACTAATAGGATCTTCATTGCTTTCAAACTCAACCAGAGAGGATGACCAATCTCACCCCTGAGGATGCCAGACTCTCACTCCCTTGAGTGTTTATTGCTGCAACTATTTTTGGTGTGAATCATTGTATTGGTCAAAGTGGTTTGTGCAAACCACAGAATCGAATACTCAGTTTCAAAAGGAAGGGATGTATTACAAGGTACTAGGTACTGTGTGGGCTTCCCTGATAGCTCAGTTGGTAAAAAATCCACCTGCAATGCAGGAGACCCCGGTTCAGTTCCTGGGTGGGGAAGATCCGCTGGAGAAGGGTACCGTTCCAGTATTCTTGAGCTTCCCTTGTGGCTCAGCTGTTAAAGAATCTGCTTGCAATGTGGGAGACCTGGGTTGGATTCCTGGGTTGGGAAGATTCCCTGGAGAAGGGAAAGGCTACCCACTCCAGTATTCTGGCCTACAGAATTCCATGGACTATACAGTCCATGGGGTCACAAAGAGTCGGACCCAACTGAGTGACTTGCACTCACTCACTCACTCAGGTACTGGGTAAAGCTGAATTGTTCGAGGCAATAAATTGTGGCTGATGCTCATTATGAATAACAAGAGGCTTTCATAGGGTGGGGGCCCTAGAACAGAGTCTGCAGTAGAGACTTTTTCAAAATAGTTTTTATTACTATTTCTTGCTGTGCTGGGTCTTTGTTGCTATGCGTGGGCTTTCTGTAGTCGCAGAGAGTGGGGGCTACTCCCTAGTTGCGGTGTGCAGGCTGATCCTTGCGGTGGCTTCTCTTGTTGTGGAGAACGGGCTCTAGGGTGCGTGGGCGTCAGTTGTTGCTGCGCTGGGCTCAGTAGTTGGCACGGCTCGCAGGTTTCACAGAATAGGCTCAATAGTTGTGGCCCTGAGGCATATGGAATCTTCCGGGACCAGGGACTGAAGAGGTGTTCCTTGCTTTGCAAGATGGATTCTTAATGACCGGACCACCAGGGAAGCTCTAGAGGTTCTTACTTAAGATTCTTATTTAAGAGGTTTATTTTAACTCTTAAATTAATCAAGACATTAATGAACTCAATTAGTTAATTAAGATGAAAGAATCGATCTTAATTAAGAGATTATTTATTATATTTATTTCAGTAGTGCTCTTGGGAGAAGATGAGTGAGGGGAACCAGACAGAACAAGAGGAAGAAAGGGAAACATGAATTTGTTCGTGTTCTCATCTGGAGACTGTCCTCAGCCTGGTTCTCAGGGGAGCATCAGAGCATGATGGTACCACAGAACTGGCTCCCGCTTCAGGCGAGTGGGATAGGCTAGCCCTCTGTACCTGAGAGAGGGTGCCTAGCTTCTGGGGGACATGGTTTCCATGTGGCTGGGAAGGGGCCACCAGCTCTGACAGCGATTGGAGCTGGGGGCACTGAGCAGGGCGGAGCCCTGGAAGCACCTCAGCTCCAACCTGACCTCACTGGGAACGGTGGCGGGGGGAGATCTGGGACGAGGTCAGGGCTGGAGGAGGGCAGCGAGGTCGGGGGAGCAAAAGGGGCTGTCTGTGCACCCTGGAAGTGCAGCCTGAGACCTGTGGGCTTGGCCTTGCGGAGCAGCGATCCTTTGTCCCCATGGGGACACAGGACAGGCCAAGCCCTCCCCTCAGCTTCTCATTCCAGAGAGTGCCAAGCATGTCATCAACCTACCCCAGTCATCAGTATCACCCTTCCTGTGACTCAGGCAAAGAGAACTAGGCTTCTCTCTTAGCAACCTGCTTCCCCCTCCCTCCTCACTACTCTCTGCAGCCCCAGCCTTGGCCTTGATCTCAGGCTTTGAAGGTGCTGGATTCAATGTGATGGATGATTCATTGGGTGATAGGCAGTTTTCCCCCAAGCTGCCTGCCTCAGTCTGGGGTGGAACATTCTGGCCTCATAGGAGGGCAGACCAGGAGGCATTAACCCCTGCTCTGCCAGCATGTCTCTCTAGGGCCAGAACCCAGGATTCTGGAAATTGTTCTCTCCAGGGTGGCATGAAAAGGAGCCTTGTGGAAGGCTTTGGACACTCCATATACTTCCTCATTCTCACCCAGGCCAGCCAGGAAACACTTAATCTGAATCAAAGGAGTGTCCCCTGGCCAGCCCCACTTTCCAACACAATTGCCACCTCTGCCCTTATGTCTATCCTTTCTGGAGCCACCTGTGCCTTCTGCACACCTTCCCCTGCCACCTGCCCCAGGGGTCAGCCCCCACCTTCAGCAGAGATTTATACCTTTCCGAATACTCACCCAGGAAGCCAAAGCCACCACAGGCTGGTGCAGAGGCTGAGACAGGCCTGGGTAGGAGCCATGTCAACATTCCAGTTCTCCCATCCTTTGGGTGGCTGGCAGATGGGGGCATTGAGCAGTGTAGGGTGGGAGGCCTAAGCAGAGGGTGGGAGCTTTCTGGAAGGGGACTTGGCCAGACGAGGCTCAGCAGGATCCCCCCAGGTTGGTAGTCCCTCCTCCACTTAGTCCTGTCTTGAAGGTGCTGAGGGAGAGGATGTAATTTATGACACTAGTAACCTTCTCTAATGACGTGCAGTTGTCTTGCCAGATACCTTTGTTGAGGGAGATGCAATAACCCATTTCAGCACATGTATTCACTGTCCATAATGTATTTTGAAGCATCTACATGGAGAAGGGGTCATTTCTTCTTTGGCTGAGCAAAAAAAAATACTTTTGGACTGTTAGTAGAAAAAAAGAGATGCCTATAGGCAACATAAAAATGTTTGTAAAGATTCTGGTTTCAAGTAATTTGTTTCCTAAGATGTGACACTGCAGATCCCTGAGTGCACATGTATGCACAGGAGAATACACACATGTGTATTATGGGACATTATATGACAGTAACTGAGATCACTAATAAACTTGTCAGCTCTCCCTACCAGCACTGCACTCTGCCTGCACACAGAGGATGTCCAGTAAACGTGCGTCTGTGCTCAGCTGCTTAGTCACGTCTGACTCTTTGCAGACCCGTGGACTGTAGCCCACCAGGCTCCTCTGGCCATGGAACTTCTCAGGCAAGAATACTGGAGTGGGTTGCCATTTCCATCTCCATGTGATCTCCCTAACCCAGGGATCGAACCCACCTCTCCTATGTCTCCTGAATTGCAGGCAGATTCTTTACCGCTTGAGCCATCAGGAAAGCCCCTCAGGAAATGTTAGGCGAGTTCATGAATTAAATGCTAAACTGCGTGGTGACATTGGATTTTGATTTTGAAGCCCAACCCACGAGGGCAGTCTCTGAGTGAGAAACTCTTAAGTGACTCAGCCAGAAGGACACAAGGCACGTGTGCTATGCAGGTGGCCCTGGCACCCTGCTTCTTGCCCGTGACCCCTATTGCTTCCATGCGTCTCCATGCCCGGCGTCCAAAAGCCCACCTGCACCTGCAATTCTCGGTTGAGGGCTGTCCTGGGCCCTCCCTTCTGCCTGACGGGTTGGTGGGTCAATACCCAGCTCCCACACCCTTGGGCAGGGTAACTGAAGACTGAGTTCCACCCCGTCTCCCAGAGCCCCAGGGGATGGGGGCCTAGCGCCAGCCGCTCACAGTGACAACCCACCTGGCAGCACCTCTCCTCTCTGATGCCCTGCTGCCTCCACCTCCGTCTCCTGCCCTCCTGGCGCTTCCTGGGACCAAGTCCCCAGAAATGACATCAGATCCTTGCTGCAGGGTCAGCTTCTTGGGGAACCCAAACTGAGATAGACACCTTTAATTGTCTGACTCCTAACAAAGCACCCCTCATGCAATCGTGTGCTTGGGCCTCAAATGCGGTGAAAACAAGCCGATCCATCACCTGACACATTTCAGGTGTGAAATCCAGACTCTGAGCCTCTAATGAGCCCCACAATGCCCCAAAACAGCTTGTCTACTTTCTTAAATGAGCTTAGCTCAGTGGCTATTAGCTGGGCACCCCTGTCCTGAGCGAGGCTGGCCCACCTGTAAGCCCAAGGCCCCTGTTAATCAGACAAAGGATGTGCAAGCAAAGAAAACATTTTAATTAAGGCTTCATCAGTAAGCCAGATGAGCCAACCATGGTCTAATCCAAAGAACCTTGTATCCTCACCCTTGTAGCCTCTGTTCTAAAACATCCAAGCACATGTCCTCAGGGGCCCAGAGACACCTCCTCCTGGTTAGCTCAGGCACTGGAGGATCCCTTCTCTCCCAGTTTCTTCTTGTTTGCCTTCGTCTTTTCAATCATGGTCTCCACAATGACAGCAGTCTCTTCGTACGTCTGGATGCTCTCAGTGGAAAACTTCTCTATGGATTCCATCACCTCCACCTTCTCGTAGGCCAGCTTCCTGGGAGGGCTTCTCGCCGGCCGGCTGCTGCTCTGAGCCCCATGCCCTTCGGACCCACCCAGAGTGACCTGAGGCCCTTGAGACCGGGGTGTAGGCGGCCCCTCTGGACTAGGTGCCACCATGGGATAGGGCCCTCTGGCCCCCTCCTCCTCCTTCTGGCCATCCTGTTTCCCCTGGAGGCCCTTCAGTTCTTTGGCGTTTTTCTCATCCCCTTTGTCTGCAGGGTGCGGGGTGGGAGGGCGTCCATCTTCTTTCCCTTCAGGGGCCCCCCCTTCCTCCTTCAGACCATCTTCTTTCCCCTCAGGGGGCCCCCCTTCATCCTTCAGACCGTCTTCTTTCCCCTCAGGGGGCCCCCCTTCATCCTTCAGACCATCTTCTTTCCCCTCAGGGGACCCCCCTTCATCCTTCAGACCATCTTCTTTCCCCTCAGGGGGCCCCCCTTCATCCTTCAGACCATCTTCTTTCCCCTGGGGAGGCCCCTGTCCATCCTCCAGAGGGGGCTCAGGCTGCTGGGGAGAGGGTTCCACGCTGCTGTCAGGACGCACAGAGTCTTCCCCCTTAGAAACCACCACGCCCCCTTTGGCTGGGACAGAGAAGACACAGAAGCCAGGATCCATGAAACTGGCATCTCCAGAGACCATCACGTACCGCCCTTTGGTGTACAGGTCAGCGGGGGGCTCGGGTTCTCTGGGGCCTTTCACCTTCTCCTTGATCATCTTGCCTAGCTTCTCAAAGGCTTTGCTTATCTTGCCTCCATCTGGGACATCCTCCGGAGCCCCGTCCTGGGTTGGGGGACTTGCTTCTCCATCCCCCGGTTCAAGTTTAGACTCGCCCTCTTCTTTGAGTACCTCCTGCCCCAGTTTCATGTCCTCTGGACCTCTCAGCAGTGTCTCTTCCAGAATTTCATCTGCTCTGTCTTTCGCGACCATCTCCTTTTTCCTTGGAAGGTTCTTGGGGAGGCCTTTGAGTCTTGGTTTCGCTGCAGTTATATCCTGCACAGCCCTGGTGAGATCTTTGAAAAAAGAAAAAAGGAGGTGGGTGCAATGAGTCAAGGCCAATGAAAGAAGAAGAAAAAGTATTTGCTGAAAAATACATGCTTAGCACTGGGGTGGGGTTTACTGGTTGGCTGGTTGGCAACAGGGTAGAATCTCTGGGTCCTAAGCATTCATGGCCCACACTGAGGACCCAGCCCTGCTGGCCGCTGCGTGACTTTGGAATGAGTCACTTGGCCCCTCTGGGCTTTCAGAGCAGAGGGGAAGCCCCCACAGTTCCCTTCACACTGGGTACAACTTACTGAGATCCATGTTTCTCTTGCAATAACACTCTGTGGGAGCAGGGCCTCTGCCCCACCCCTGCACCCTCACCTCGAGGTCACAGGGGACACTGGGATCCAGACCAGACCAGGAAATCCAGTCCAGAGAGTCACTGTCACCTCAGGCTTCCCCAAAGGAGCAACTCAGAGTCACCCCACCTTCCTCTGCTGGGTTTGGAATAGCCTCCAGGCACACCCTTGTCCCCCCTGCACTCCAAACCAGATAAACACCACCACTCGTGATTACCATCCCTTTCCTCCTGTGCAACAAGAGGAAGTGATGCTCTTAAACCCAGAATGGGAATCTCCTGGGCCTGAGGCCACATTCACTGCTTCAGACCAGCCAAGAGGAGAAACTTAAAGTTTCAGAAAGGACAAAGTTTCACCATGTCTCATCCAAAAGGCGGGCTTTTAGTTCCAGGTGGCACTAGTGGTAAAAACAAAAACAAAAACAAAAACCCGTCTGCCAGTGCAGGAGACATAAGAGACACGAGTTCGATCCTCGGTCAGAAGATTCCCCTGGAGGAGGGCAGGGCAACCCACTCCAGTAATCTTGCCTAGAGAATCCCATGAACAGAGGAGGCTGGCAGGCTAGAGTCCATGGTGTCGCAAAAGAGTTGGACACGTCTGAAGTGACTTAGCACACACACACATCCAAAAAGCTTTCGAGATTTACTAACAGTGATTTTTTAACTTTTTCACCCCAAAGTCTTCTCCAGACACCCTCCTCCCTTTGTTAACCAGAGGACTTGGGTTCACAGAGCCAGGGCATCCCATAGGGGTGACCCTCAATGACAGAGCAGAGTGAGCAGGCATGGCAGGTGCAGGCCATGAAGCTATGGGGGAGGGATGCAAGGGGGACATGTCAAAGCAGGTGGCCAGGAGCAGGTATGCAGAAGGGGCTGCTTGCAGGACCAGCTGTTGAATTTCAGGGCCTGCTGTTCAAAACTGTGAAGCATTTCCAGATTGCAACAGCAAAGCATCAAGCCCAGCACCCTGTGCACAGCTACGGGCCCCTGAAGCCAGCCTGGGTGTCTGGGGACCCATGCCCCTTCTCCCATCTCCACAAAGCCCTCTGAGCTTTCTGAGACCCTGGGATTTGACAGCACTATAAGCCAGGCTTTCCTTTCTCCAGGCACCATTCTGTTCAGTCCTGACTGGGGAGACTGAGCCATGAGTGGACAACTCACAAGTGTAGGAAACCATCCCCAAAGGACCAAGTGTTGAAGGCAGAAGCTCCACTGCCCACCAAGCTCTTCCTGCTCAGTTTTGAATGGAAGACAAAATGAGCAAAAGTTGAGCATCTACTCTGCTCCTGATGCTAGATTAAGCACCTTTGCTTAAAAGAGTTCATTTCACTGGGGGAGGGGGAGGGTGGATAGATACATTTCATTATCTACTTCTTGCCAAAGTAAATGTTAATTGCAATTTTCTCCCCAATTAAATGCCTCGTGCTCATGGAAGGTGACCTCTCACGTGGCTTGACTTTCTCCTTGTAAACTTTTAGACTCAGTCACTCAGCACCAGTGGGAGGACATCAGCAAGGGCGAGGAGGGACCCCACATAAAAGCACTGAATTTCCAGCTGGATCGGAAATGAGCATGAATGTTGCATTCAGGGACAAAGTCACTTGATTTTTTCCATTTTCCTAGGACAGAAAATAGAACAAGCCAGAGTTGGGGACTCACCTTTCCCACCATGCCGAGGGCTGAAGGAGGCCCCATGGCTCGCAGTGTACAGGGTGATTGGAGTCTCAATGAAGGCAGAGCTCAGCCTGGCAGGGAGAACCAGAAAGAGGGAGATCACCATCGTTAAGTCATCAAGCCAAACAGAATGGGGTTGGGTGGGTAAGAGGGAGGCTCTAGAGTACAGCAAAAATGAAGAAGGCTTCCTCTAGATCCAACAGCTCAAGAACCATGAATGTATTTTCACACATTGCATGATGATGGGAAGGTCAAGTCATAAACTGTGAAACACACATAAAAAATGGTAAGGTAGAAATGACTGATAATCTAAATATGCCACTTTTCTGTTGAACAGGAGTTCTCTGTGTTTTGGGGTTTGTTTTTTTTTTTTTTAAATAAGAGAGGGTTTCCCAGGTGGCTCAGCGGTAAAGAATCCACCTGGCAATACAGGAGCTACAGGAGACATAAGTTTGATCCCTGGGTGGGAAAGATCCCCTGCAGGAGGCAATGGCTACCCACTCCAGTGTTCCTGCCTGGAGAATTTCATGGACAGGTGAGCCTGGTGGGCTATATACCTTAAGATCAAAAAGAGTCAGACACAACTGAGCATGCACACCACCCCTAAAATAAGAGAATGGCCAGCCCAGGATAAATTATTTAGGGCAACCAGGATATGATTCTCCAACTTGTTTTTTAAAGAACAGTTTCTATAACCAGAGAGAGCAGGAAGATAAAAGCAATTGAGACAAAATGTAAATAGCTAGTGAATCTAAGAGGATTCATAATTTCCTTGCTCTGGGCCTGAAACACTTCTATCAGCATGAAATTATATCAAAATTAAGAGTTCTATATAAACACACAAGAGAGGTATCCAGTTACCTTTTGATGAAATCCTGCCTCCAAACCAAAACTTTTCACAAAGACATTTAAATACCAGTTCAAGATATTTTGTCTATGTGTGCATGAAGCATTCACTGTGACATAAATATAATTGAGTTCAGCACAACACAGTGACTGGAACTAGAGAAAACAAAAGAAAATCTTCCTTTTCCTGTGACACATTAGAGCACTCATATGTCAAGACAGAACCCCAGAGAGAGGACAGCAGTGTCCCTGGGGGGACACCCAGGTGTTTCTCTTTTACCTCAATCTAAACCCCCCCAAACACACTCACACATTGCATGATGATGGGAAGGTCAATCATAAACTGTGAAACACACATAAAAAATGGTAAGGTAGAAATTGCTGATAATCTAAATATGCCACTTCTCCGCTGAACAGGAGTTCTTTGTTTTGGGGGCTTCTTAAAATAAGAGAGGGCTTCCCAGGTGGCTCAGTGGTAAAGAACCCTCCTGCCAACACAGGAGCCACAGGAGATGTAAGTTAAATCCCTGGGTTGGTGGAAAGATCCCCTGGAGAAGGCAGTGGCTACCCACTCCAGTATCCCTGCCAGGAGAATCCCGTGGACAGAGGAGCCTGGCGGGCTAGGCTGAACTGAAGAATCTCCACTTAATAGAGAAGCAGAGTCCTTACACTGGGAGGCTGGCCTCATCCATTCTCCACACATCTAGGGCTATAGGTACACAGGTGGATACAGCCATATATGTAGGCATGGGTATGGATAGGAATAATGGAGACACCACTGTAGATGTGTGTGTACATAAAGACAGTGCAGGTGCTGATGGTTTATACATGTACATAAAGACGACAGAGGTATATACAGTTTACGCATGTACATAAAAACAATGGAGATGTAGACAGGTTATACATGTACATAAAGATGACAGAGACGTAGATAGATTATGCATGTTCATAAAAATGATGGAGATGTAGACAGCCTATATATGTACATGAAAATGTTGGAGGTATAGACAGTTTATGCATGTACATAAAGACAATGGAGATGTAGTCAGTTTATACATGTACATAAAAATGATGGAGATGTATACAGCTTATATAGGTACATAAAAATGATGGAGATGTAGACAGCTTATACACGTACATGAAAACCAGGGAGGTATAAAGGTTAGTAGAAAGAAAGAAATCTTAAAAATTAGGGCAGAAGTAAATGCAAAAGCAACAAAAGAGACCATAGCAAAAATCAACAAAGCCAAAAGCTGGTTCTTCAAGAAAATAAATAAAACAGACAAACCATTAGCCAGACTCATCAAGAAACAAAGGGAGGAAAATCAAATCAACAAAATCAGAAACAAAAATGGAGAGATTACAACAGACAACACAGAAATACAAAGGATCATAAGAGACTACTATCAGCAACTATATGCCAATAAAATGGACAACTTGGAAGAAATGGACAAATTCGTAGAAAAGTACAACTTTCCAAAACTGAACTAGGAAGAAATAGAAAATCTTAATAGACCCATCACAATCACAGAAATTGAAACTGTAATCAGAAATCTTCCAGCAAACAAAAGCCCAGGACCAGATGGCTTCACAGCTGAATTCTACCAAAAATTTAGAGAAGAGCTAACACCTATCTTACTCAAACTCTTCCAGAAAATTGCAGAAGAAGGTA